CCCCAAAACCCCAAAACCCCAAAACCCCAAAACCCCAATATCTAAAATCAGATAATTAAAGAGTATATCCATATATAAATAAGATAATTAGATTAGGTTATTTTTTTAACGTAAACATCGGCTGATAGTTATATAAATCTTCTTCGGCTAATAGTTATTTGATATTAATGTGGGCCACTTCCCCGCTCCCGCCATTCAATAATAATGGCCAGCAGCGGCAGCATGACCTCTTTGACCTCTGTTGGTCACTTTTTACTTTGATTGAATCTTTCTATTTGAATAGTTTTTATCATAAGATTGCTCAAAGTAATCTTAACCTCCGTAGTAATCTTAATATTCTTCATCTTCCTACTCCTTTTGTTTAATTAAGTTACTTTTTTCCTTGTAGAGATGTAGAACCCCCTTTTCAGATTTTTCAATCATGTCCATCCACTTTTTCTTTAAGTGATTCATGCCCATATGTACAAGATTTTTCTGAATGATGGTTCTGACTTTTTGGTTAAGATACTCATTAAAACAGTTCATAAGAATTCTTTCAATGACATAGTAGCCAAAGTTAACTCTTAAAAGAACTCTTATTGCATCCCCTTTGCAAATTTCTTGAGCATAGAGTTCAACAACATACTATATACCAGTTAAATATTGAATATACTCACTTATTTGGCTTTATCTAGAGCCTTCTCAATAACATTTGATGAAAATTTTTAAACTGAAAGTTACTGCAGTTAAGGCAAGAATTCTTACGTAAAAAGTTCACAATCATCTTAATTCCAATACTAAATTATCATATTGACAATAAAAATGTATTTACCTCAAGTGCAACTTAGAGAGCGTAGTTACCGTATGCATTCTGCGATAGACTCAATGCATTTTAGTTGATCACATTTACCATTTTATGTTTTAAACTTGGGATATAAAACTTTTAGATGCATACCTTGACTATTGGCAAGCCATTTGCATCTTAAGCAAGTTAATCAAAATTTTAAGCAAGAATATCATATATCTGCTCAAGATATGGTTTTACTGGTGTTAGTTTTATATACTTAATTAAGACATGATTGGAATTCTTATTGTAAGCATATTTCATGATATCTTTCTCTAATAAATCTGAAATAATTTCTTGGTAGACAGGCTCAGTCAAGACTTCCAGGAAGCTCTGAATTGCATGAGTACCTTTACTGTCTTAAGATACAAATAAGAACTTAGTCTTCAATCTTTTCTTGCTTATTTTTTCTCTCATTTCCTCCTGATTAATATGGATTTACTTCAATGTCTTAAGAAGTCTAAGCTTTTGGTCAATATCCAAATTAAGAAACAACTTTTAACAGAAATAGTTTCCGTAATGATCGATTAGGAGATCTGAAAAATTAGGTTCAATTTCATCTACAATAGCTTAAATTATTTCTGGACCAGCTTTTTCTATAAGCTTTTGATATTCTTTGGAACCATTTTTTGTAACAACTTTTTAGACAACTTAGCCTTTGTGGATAATATTAATTGAACCACCTTTGTTAGAGCCACTATTATTACTTCTAGAGCCATTCAGCTAATTTTATTTAGAACAGTTTTCAATTTAATAAACCTCTGATTAATGTTGCTGTTATATCTTTTTTCTTGGAATAAAATCACCATTTGTATTATAAGTAGATCTTTTAGATGATATTATGTCCTAGGATTCACCTTCAGTGATGCAATAAGGCCCTGAAAATAATGACTTTGATTCAATATCACTTGGATTAATTGAGTTGAAATGAACACCAGAGATTCGATAATTCTAGTCTTACCCATGAATCTTAAGAGGCTGAATTGAATTAGATTTAGCTTATTTGTAAGAGTACTCATCAAGAGTTGAGGAAGATTCAAGCATCTTATTAGGTAAGTAACTCTTGAATCCATTCAATCTCTGATAAGTGTTAATTACTGAATGCTATCGAAATGAGTTATTAATTTCAAGATTAGGATCTTCCAATGTAATAGTATTTGCTTAGTTTAAAATTTTATCTTCTAGTAAATATTCTTTTTAATGGATATGTTCATCGAATATTTGCAATGTTTTGATTTCTAACGGAGTTTATTTGATAATTATTGAGAAGTCTTATGCTACAAGTGAAGTAGTCTAAACTTAAGACATATCTAGCTAAGAATTTGCAAGATCATTATGTAAAATCTTATTAACCTTAAATCTTATTTCAATTGCAATATCCTATTAAGGTTGGTAAAAATAGGTCAAGTGCTCATCTAATTATGAATTATCACTGCTTGATGAGCCCGTAAACTTCCTTACGTAATCAGAGATATCAATGGAGCCCTCAATTATTAGGCTCATATCACTAAGTATTCCTTTAATATTAAGCTTCAAGTAAATGAGTGTTGATTTTATGCTGAACTCTAACGGCTTAATTGTAATAAAATAATTATCATTTAAACATACCCCTGATATTTCTTTTAAAGACAGCTATTATAGTTCCAAATTTTGTTCCATCAATATAATATGCTAATCATTCCCGAATTGTGGAATGGATAGCTCTATATCAAGAAGTATCTTTTTCAAAAACTCAGTTTACTGGTTAGAGTCTGATTTTGAAGTTTCTATTTGAAATTTTGGTATTATTGTTAACTAATTATTATATCTGATTAGTTAAAAACACGTGGAGTGTAATGGAAAATATAGTTTTGTTATTTGATTTTAAGTGAAAAGTATGTTTTCTTAAGTTGTAATCTAAGCTCTACAAATGAAGCATATTTGAAAAGCTTTATGAATAGCAAATTCACTCTTTCCGTTCATACCATTAAGCTACTAATAGGTATCAGGTTACTTTAGTTATCCTGGATCCAATGTTTAATTTCAATTATATTATATGCTAGGTGGACTTGGTAAATCTTAATTTTAATGTATAGGTATTATTCTTTTATTTGAGAACATCTCTTGATGTCGATAGGATAAGTTAGGTTAGTAATCAATCAGCTCGTTGTCGGTGTTCTGAATTTAAGAGGAAGTGAAAATTCTTTTTGTGGGAACGGATGATTTTAAGTAGCTTGGAATATTTTCTTGATCATTCATTTTTAATGCGCCATGATTTATACTATTTGATATTGAATTTGACATGAAGCTATCAAAAGGAGTACCTAAATTTGTTAAAAATACATTCCAGCTAGTAAGTTATTATATTACCACTAGATGGTGCAATCTCATCCTATTTGAGTGGGAATTAATAGGATTTGAAGGCTTAAGAAGATGATGTTTTAGGCTCAAATCTATTGTTATATTGCCCATGAATTTAATTTTTCTGATTGAAGTCTTGACTGCCCAAACCATATAATTAATGCTAATATTTAGACTGTGAGAAAGTTCTTGATATCTTTTCATGATTATACCTGTCATAAATTAATGCAAAGTAAATTTACGGAATTTGTGGGTTGTCAAGAGTCTAAGGTATTCGGAAAGTCTCATTCCCAAACATAAAGTGATTAATTTCTTGCTTTAATGCCATCGATGGGGGCTCATAGTTGATGCCCTTCTCATAAGATAGTTAATTCATCTGGTAGGAAATCCTTAAATATTTTATTCTAGTTAATAATATAAATGATTATAATACGGTAAGAGACTTTAAGCAGAAGAATCAAAGTTATTTACTCTCAGTTTATCAATTTATATTACTTTACTCAGAGACTTATTAATTAAGCTACTTTCTAAAACATATGAATCTCCAGCTAACGGGGTTTTGGGGTTTTGGGG